GCGAAACGTCGAGAACCTGGTAAATGCTTCGTTCGAAAGTTGTAACAGAATACGAAGCGCGATGCGAACACGCCACGTCGATACTCTTCCTCTCGTCGTCGATTTAACACTGACCTCAGCAGGCCCCGGTGAAAATTCGAAATTCCATTTAAAATTGCTATTTCTTTCGTCCATCCAACTTTATGTAAATTCTTACAGCAACAAAAATCGAGCAACTGCTTAATCGGATAATATGAGACAATAATTACTATGCGACATAAGGTACACACAGATGTGTTTATTATTCTCGTGCGTTATTGTGTCATGCGATTTGCTTTCGTTCTGGTTACAAAATTAATCGCGAGACTGAAAATCTACGAGAAATTCGATAGCGCGTCGATGTCCACTTTTCATCGATCAAATATTAGGTCGTCCGGAAAGTGTCTTTCTTTTACAACGATGCATCTTTATACAAATATTAAACCTAATCTGTCGAACGTTGTGATCCTCATTTTGATAGAAGAAAACGGATCACAATTTGATAAAATAATATAAAACAGAAAATGTTGTGCATCCATTATTTGCCCGTAAAACGAAAGAAGCTTTTCATCGGTCAAACACGTATCCGTGTACGTTGCGTACTTTTGTTACAACTTTTTAACGAATCATTCGTCGAGTTGCTGCTACGTGGTGACGTTTTAGTCTCATTTTTGCCTGTAGAACACGCTTGGAAAGTTAGTTCGTGGAACGCGCGGACACCCTGTACGAAAGAGGAAAGAAAAAGAAGAAAGCGGAGGAACGAACTGGAGAAGGAAATTCGGACGCGGAAAGGTTGAACGATTTCTCGAAGAATAGGGGAAAACGCGTTCCGAGAAGGAGCGAGGGTTGGAGAAAATTTGATCTCTCTGAGAGGGACGGGGAAGAGGGTGGACAGGGAGCAGAGATTGCGCTCTTATCTCGTCAGATACCGACCGCCTTCAGCTTCCGTTTCGTCCTCCTCCTTCTTCTCGTCCAGACCTCTCCCCTTCCTCTCTCCACTGGCTTTTCCTGGGGGAGGATTGACAAGCACCGAGGGCTGCATGCAACGTCCGATTCGATCCGCCGCAATAAAATTAGAACCGCTGCTTGGACTCTTGCGAATTTTTCCCTTCCTTATCCTCCTCCTGTGTTTTCTCGTTTCGTCGTTCACGAAAATTACCAGCGCACGCACTCACGACATTCTACGTTTCCGCGTACATTCTGCAATTTCCCTTTAAAATAAGATGCAACGAAATTAAATAGTCGGGAAAGTTTCGTTCGTTTCGTAAGGAAGCAATCGACGCGCGACATTTTTTCTTTTCTATATACTCTCTACTATATACTCTCCATACTTTTCTATATACCGAATTGCCTACGATCCATTTTTCCTTTACTATTTCCTTATAAAACGAAAGAAACCTTTGGCTCAGCCGAACGTTTAACGTGCATCGTATCATTGGCAACTGACGCGTTGCTTTCCCGACGCGTATCCCACGAACGATCGTAATTCTACGATACTCTACGACTCACAGAGCGACGCTTTATTCAAATTTTCGCTGCTCGAAAAGGTACAAATTTCGCGCTTTTTCATCATCGTCCTTCACGCGCGGATAGCTTAGCTCTCTCGCCGCGTCGGTCCACTCTTTCTCCATTTTCCACTGCCTGCAGGCCTCCCTTCGAAGAAAGAAGGGAGGCGGCGTGCTGATAACGAGTTGATGTATGACCTAGTGACGTCACCGACGAGACAACCCCCTTCCTCGACGGTCGAGAGTAGATTACAAAAATCGATAGCGCGTCGGGGACGAGAAAAATGCGCGAGTCGGGCGATTAACGTGGTGAAAACCAACAAAGAAAGAAAGAAAGAGACAGAGAGAGAGAGAGAGAGAGAGAATTGGGAAGAAGCTTGGGAACCGAACGATCCGATTGTTCTAAACTCGTTAATCGGCCACGACGTCGACGACGAGATCTACTTTGCGACAGAGCGAATACGCCGATAGAGAGACGAAAGCGCGAGCAACTGTGTGGATTTCTCGGGGAAACGATACGAAACGGTGGCGAGAGCCTCCTCCTCCAACCCCTTTGCCAGCCCCGTTTTGTCATTACAACAACGGAGCAAGGGGCGAAGTGGCGGAAAGGAGGAGGCGCGGTTAGAAGTTTAATAACTGCTGGAAAGCGATGCCGTGGTGCGGTGCGGCGCGGCGGCGGTTGGCGTGGCGTTTTCTCACGGAGAATTCCGCCAAGGCGCGCACCAACTCTCCGCACAACACCGGAGATGGAACCCCAGACGTAATTTCCGGTTTCGCCGCNNNCGGTTTCGCCGCGGCACTGCCGCGTTAGCTGAACCAAAAGACGATCGCTCAGCGAACGAGATAGCCCGAGATAACTCACTCCCTCGCGGTTCTCCTTCTACGTTTCTCTTCCCCTCCCTCTTCCTCCCTCTCGCCCCTTCTCTGTCTTCCTCTCCAGCCTCGTCTTCATCGACTTCGAATCTGCTCCGCTCTGCTGCCGTCTTCTCAGCTCGCAAGTCGAGACGCACCTGCCACCGATGACGATCACTCGTCTCTCTATCCTGTGCGATCGATCGTGCAGCAGATACGCGCCTTCTCTCGTTCCACGGACAAACAGCGGCCTCAGTTCGAGCCTCGGTTTCCGAGATTTCCTTTTTCGAGATCGTTCGAATCGGATAGGATTCGATAGAACTGACGTGCGTCTCGATGATCTCGCGAGAATATTTCGAGGTCAATTGCGTTTCCGGCGTCTCCAACTTCCTGCCTTCTCTTTCATGTATCGCGATGCTGTTCTTGGGTCAGTTCCACGTGTCTGTGAAATATCGACCGAAGGCCGAGCTTCCAACACTCATCGAAATAATCAAGATCTTCGAGATCTTTCGACGTTTCAACGGCTTTTTAAGCGACCCTCGGACAACCAATATACATACGTATATCGCCAATATCTTTTCGGGCTTCTCAAGATCATCGTACGCGCGGATAGGGAGCCTCGATATCGTCGATAAGTATTGAACATACGAGGAAAATGCACTTTGTCAATAAGAAAGTGACGACGATATCGTATTGGCAATGTATATAAATATTTTTCTGAGTCAATGCGTGTCTCTAATAACTCCTACCTACGTCGTCGAATCCTTTTCAAATTTAATTGACGTAATCTCAAGACTTCCATCTTCCTATTGACATCTATTCGTCTAAGCAAATTGCTTTAATGTACGTCATTTCGGCTATTCGCCGAGCCACTGTGTATATATATATTTTTTTATTTATTTGTTAAAATTTGCAATCAATTCTCGCATTGAGAATTTTCAGTAATTTTTTCTGGCTAATTATTATAATAAGTTAATACTTATCATAGATAAGTATAATTTATAAGTACGTATTATAAATAAGTAAATATTACTTAATTTAGATAACAAATTGAATCTAGCGTTTAGGTCTAGCGGGTAGTGTCTCTCCAGCCTGCGTTTCGGTGTTTGTTGACTCTTTTTCTACATCTGTCGCTATATTTCGCTATTTCCTCTTCGACTGTTGGTATCTTGAGGTCGCGATGTATTAGTTCGTTGGTGACGTACCAGGCTGCATTTATAATGGATCTTAGCGTTTTCGATTGGAAGCGTTGAAGTATTTCGAGTTACTTGCTGTTCCCCATAGTTGGATTCCGTAGGTCCAGACAGGTTTTATCACGGTCTTGTAGAGGGTAATTTTATTCTGTATGTTTAGTTTAAAAAATAGAATTCTTTTACTTTGTCCTTTAATTGCTTCGTTTTGTCTGTATATATATATATATATGTCGGAGATGAAAGGAAAACCGGAGCCTTCCCTTTGCAATTTTGAGGAAGCCTTCTAACGCTTTAGCCTAGATTTTATCATAACTGTAATTAAGCAATTGTCATTTGTAATTGTTTGATATTTGTGAAAGCGAAAGTGGGTTCGAGGTGACAACTGGTCGCCGAACGTAGCCACGGTCACGGGAT